CTTACAGCAGGACAATGACCCAAAGCAGACTTCACAAAGCACCAGAAATGGTTTCAGACAATGTGCTGTAGAGTTCTGAAGTGGTCAGCAATGAGTCTAGATCTAAATCTCATAGATCACCTGTGGAGAGATCTCAGAACAGCAGCTGGGAGAAGGAACCCTTCAAATCTGAGAGACCTGGAGCAGCTGGCAAAAGAAGAGTGGTCCAAAATTCAAGTAGAGAGGAGGAAGAAACTCACTGATGGTTACAGGAAGTGACTGATTTCAGTTAATTTGTCCAAAGGGTGGGCTACCGAATATTAAGTTGATGGTGTCAGTAATTCTGTCCAGTCCATGTTTGGAGTTCTGTGTGGAATGGATCAGATTTGTTGTTCCAATGCAAACAAAAGAAATAAACATGAGAATACCAAAGAATTTGTGACTGCAACTATTTTCTGGGAGAAGTGGTGTTGACAGAAATGTGGGGGTGGCAATATTTTGGCCATGACTGTACCTGAGGATATCTGGCCAGAACAATTATCAACAGAAATTGAATTTTTTTTTTGGAAACAAGATTTGCCAGCAGCCCAACCATCTTCGGAATTGTTTCATAGATGCACTGATATTTTAAAGAAAGTTTTTCAGGTTATTGTCATTAGCTTTTTCCCACATGCAGTTTAATAGGTGCCCTTTCCTACTGCATACAAAGCAAACATTTTTTAAATTATGTAATATTGCCCAGTGAGCTATTATGATTCTTGTTTTTGTCAGTTTTCAGTTTTTAAGATAGCTCATACCAACTTTATAAAATGCACAGCCACCAGTTAGAAATCAGCAGTTCTAAATTTGTATATTGTCACTATTAAAACCTCCAGTTTATTTCTACTATTCATTTGCACCTGGACCACAGGCAGTCACACACCCAGTTTACACATTTACAAACATATATACAGTATATGCACTACCAGTCAAAAGTTTTAGAACATCCCTGTTTTTACAGTTTTTATTCATGTTTAAGCAGTTGAAGATCTGTGAATAACATGAAATGGTACAAAGCTGAGAAGTAAACTGTCAGGGGTTAGAAATAATCTAAAAATGTATGTAAATTTCATATGAGTTTTTCAGGGATCAAGCAATGGGTTAACTTGCATCTTTAATGCAGCCATGAAAATGGATGCACACAGTTCCAACAGGTGTCCCAACATCAGCTGATTACTTACAACAGCAGACTAGGGGCCCTATTTTGATCAAGGTGTATTGGCACAAGTATTGTTTGGGTGTGTCCGCTCTTTGTGATAATTTGACTACGAGGAAAAATGGTTCAAGCACCCGTGCAAGTAGCAAAAGGGCTGTACTTGATCTCTTCATTAAAGCAGGGATGTGTTTTGGGCATAACATGCCATTTTCCAGTCACATCCCCTTTAAGGCGTGTGAGTTTGAACGTTGCTGGCATGCTGGTGGCCATGCCGGGTTGGACGTCATTAAAATTTTCCACTGAGGGAAGGGAGCCGCTCATGCTTGAGGTGAAGGCACACTGAAATATGCACACCACCGGTTATTTTACATCTGTTATTCTATTCATATTGTTAAGCATAAGCATAAACTATATTGATAAGCATTATCAAACGTTCTAGGAATTTTACTCCAGATCAATGGCCCCCGATCTGCACAGCAATAAAAACAAAATAAATAGAAATTATATACTAGTTAAAAAGCACAAGTTAAAAGAGCAAACATAGACTAGGTGTTCAAGAGTTAAATAGTCTGGGGGAAGAAACTGTCCCTGTGCCTGGTTGTCTTGGCGCACAGTGACCTGTAGCACTGTCCAGAGGGGAGGAGTTCAAATAGTTTGTGTCCAGGGTATGAGGCACTGTTCAGAGGGGAGGAGTTCAAACAGATTGTATCCAGGGTGTGAGGGGTCTGCAGAAATCTTCTCTGCCCTCTTTTTGACCTGTGAGGTGTACAGGTCCTCCATGGAGGGCAGGCTGGCACCGATGGTTTTCTCTACAGTCCTGACTGTCCGCTGAAGTCTGTTCCTGTCCTGTTTGGTTGCTGAGCCAAACCAGACAGTGATGGATGTGTGGAGAACAGACTCAATGATTCCCCTATAGAACTTATCAATATCTTATCAATAAAAATAATGATTTAAAAAAAAGCCAAATCATTGGCTTTATAAATGTTGTATCTGTGAATTATTTTGAGCATGAAAAAGTGGTGGGGGGGCGAGCTCCTCTGAAAGCCGTGTTATAGTTCACACACTGGCCAGGAGCAGAGCACGTTGATAACATGCTGTGGATTTCTCTCCGCTGAATGTCAAACTGAGTCATGACTAATATCTGCCTCTTACCTTATTCCTCTCTCTGTAGAATAACATCCCTGGAAGCGCCATGACACGTCGGAACACGTATGTGTGTACAGATCGCTCGGGCGCTGACAGACACTCTCTTCTGCAGAATGGCAAAGACAACAGGTACCGATTTGTCTTGGAGGTTTTAATACTTGTGTTTGTTATCACAGGTCGTTCATGGTTGGCGTGTAGGTACCAACTATTTGATGGAGCTGTATCAGCATAAATCATAAGGACCTATGGTGAAGCACTAACATACTGTAAGGGCTAAAATGATAAAACTACTGTATAAAACATTAGGGGCAAGATGGATGTTCCAGTCTCTAATGTGATAATATTTACTTTAAGAGGTAGCAGTTGTCAGCTTCACTTGTTCTCTTGTTAAGTTGAAGTGTGAAAAGCCGAAATAGAACATCCCAGTACATTTTGTGTCTTGGAAGCTTGCCTGTTCCGTTTCTACAGTTCTACTAAAGTTATGCCTGTATCCTCAAAATCAGACAGAGACAGACATATTTCTTCCTTCTAGTTAGCTATGAAGCACTAGAAGCTAACATAGTTTAAAGACAATATGGGGTCGGTTTTTTTTGGTTTCTTGCATGTGTGAGAACGTTTTCTATGATAATCCACAATAAATACATACTTTATATAGCCACAGGCCAGATAGTCTCTACTGGGAATGTAACTTTTTGGTAAGGAGGTGTGCTGTGATTGGGTGTTAAACGTATCGTAGAAACCATTACAAACAGTCATTACTTAAGTAGTAGGCTCAGCTGTTGCTAAAAGTTATTATCAAATGAAATGATGACTAGTACTGTTTAAGCAAAAGGTATGGAATGTTCATCTTAAGTACAGTATATACAGTGCCTTGCGAAAGTATTCGGCCCCCTTGAACTTTGCGACCTTTTGCCACATTTCAGGCTTCAAACATAAAGATATAAAACTGTAATTTTTTGTGAAGAATCAACAACAAGTGGGACTGTCAAACATGGTGGTGGCAGCATCCTGGTTTGGGCCTGCTTTTCTTCAGCAGGGACAGGGAAGATGGTTAAAATTGATGGGAAGATGGATGGAGCCAAATACAGGACCATTCTGGAAGGAAACCTGATGGAGTCTGCAAAAGACCTGAGACTGGGATGGAGATTTGTCTTCCAACAAGACAATGATCCAAAACATAAAGCAAAATCTACAATGGAATGGTTCACAAATAAACATATCCAGGTGTTAGAATGGCCAAGTCAAAGTCCAGACCTGAATCCAATCGAGAATCTGTGGAAAGAACTGAAAACTGCTGTTCACAAATGCTCTCCATCCAACCTCACTGAGCTCGAGCTGTTTTGCAAGGAGGCATGGGCAAAAATTTCAGTCTCTCGATGTGCAAAACTGATAGAGACATACCCCAAGTGACTTACAGCTGTAATCGCAGCAAAAGGTGGCGCTACCAAGTATTAACTTAAGGGGGCTGAATAATTTTGCACGGCCAATTTTTCAGTTTTTTATTTGTTAAAAAAGTTTGAAATATCCAATAAATTTCGTTCCACTTCATGATTGTGTCCCACTTGTTGTTGATTCTTCACAAAAAATTACAGTTTTATATCTTTATGTTTGAAGCCTGAAATGTGGCAAAAGGTCGCAAAGTTCAAGGGGGCCGAATACTTTCGCAAGGCACTGTACATAAATGGTAATAAGTTGGGCTAAATGACAAACACATTTTTACATTTTCTTTTTCTTCTCTGCAGCTCCCTGGGCCACCGCATGCATGCAGCATCTCCCTCCACTGTCAGCATTGCTGGGGCTGGAGCTGCTTCCTCCTCTTCCTCTTCAGACCGATGCCGCCTGACCCGAGGCTCCACAATTCGCAGCACCTTTCATGGGGGACAGCTGAGGGACCGTGGCCCCCCGGTTTACTCCGCCCCACCCACATCACCCACCCTGTCTCATCATGATGCAAGCCCCCTGCCCCATGCCCGCACCAGGGCGACCTCCAACCTCTTCACCAAGCTGACCTCGAAACTCACTCGCAGGTAGATGCATAAAACATGTTAACATACAGTATCACAGTGGGAGGCAGGGTCACGTTTGTGAACAGCCCTGGCCTCTGAATGGCAGAAGCACACTAGTTTTTGACACTGTGTAGTTGATTAGGAGTTGTAAACCAAACCAGTATTCTAACAGACAGCTAACTGTCTCCTAGCTGTAGCTTCACATTTTGCATACAGACATAACACTGCTGTCAGTCTTCTTATCTTCTTACCTCTCAGTAAGTCAGTGAATGAGTATGTTTTCTAAAATGTCAAAGTATTCCTGCAGCTACAGATGGCAAAAGTCTAACAGTGTCAAGGCTGGAATTTAAGGGTTTGTAGTTGCACTGTAGCTGTGTGCTCTACTCAGGCTTTTACAGCATCTTTAGGTTTACCCTAAATTTAGGCTAAGATCTTATTTATAAAGCTGTTGCTACATAATCAGGTGCTACAATCCTTCCTAACGCCCTATACGCTGCATAGCTTTTATTTTACTTCCGTTCCCATATGCTATTGCTGTATATGATCCTAGGTGATAGTGGAAGAAGTACTCATTTGTTTACTTACTGTAAGTAAAAGCAACAGTAGCGCGGTGTAAAAGACTCTGTTGCAAGTAAAGGTCCTGCATTCAAAATGTTACTTAAATAAAAATACAAGTACTCATTATGCAGAATGGCACATTTCATATGAATGTATATCCTGTTATTGAATTATTAGTGATGCATTATTGTGTACACCACATTGACTGTTGCAGCTGTAAACTGGGAGCTAATTCTAATTGCATTATATGCTTAGAATTTGAAGTACTGCTGGGTAGCTTGTGAATTTTCCACCGGGATCAGTAAATTCTCATGATTATGCCTTATTTAGTTTCATTAATCTGATTCTGCAAAGTAAATAAAGTTATCAAATAAATGTAGTGGAGTAAAAGGTACAATATTTGGCCCTAAAATCTAGTGGAATTGAACTACAAAGGAGGAAAAAATAAAAATATTTAAGTAAAGTACAAATACCTCAAAATTGTTCTTAAGTTCAGTGGTTGATTAAATCTACTTTGTGGTGAGTGTAAGGTTCACTTTAAATCAGAGGACATCAAATATATAATTTGAATCATTTAGCATTTTTGTTGTGAAGTTCTGCCTTTTAGCTTGGTCACAGGCCTGGGTATGGATCAGTGCTCAGGCCTTTTGGCAAGCCGCTCCGTGGCTCTGGATAATCCTCTGCTCCCCTCTCCCTCCCGGTCCTCATAATCACACATGTCTAATCTTATCAAACCTCAGCTTTATCCTCGCCAGTCAATTCCTGCACTGCAGTCTTTTCTACACTTGCTCTCCTGTGATTCACTTATATTCTCTCTTACCCCCAACCCCCTGCTCTTTCCATGTATTTCCTCTTTTTTTTCTATTTTATCTTATTCTGCTTTCCCCTGTCATGGCATCAGGGTCAACCTTGACCCGTCCAAGCGCCAGGGCTCAAACAAATCAGTCTCGGGTTGTACTCTTCCACAAGGATCAAAAACAGTTAGTAAGTTCCCATGTCTCTCGCTTCTTTCTTTCCTGCCTGTGCTGCTCCATCTGTCTGCCTGGTCACGTGGGAATTTGAATGCCTCTCTGGCTTTTTCATGCCTCTATCTATGAATTATCGCTTGCCTGCATGACTTGTTAATCATCTCTATATACTGTCAAGGTCTCACACTTGGTTTCAAGCATGGATACAATCAAGGAAAATTCATTAGATTTTTATTTTTAACTTTCTGTTTTAGGATCAGTCATTGTCTGTAGAGACTGGCTATAACAAGGATTTTACTCTGTTATCATCCTAAATATACCCTTCAAAACGGTGTTTTATGTTTCCATTTTGTATTTGTGGTTGGGTTATACTTCACTGAATGTGGATGGCACTGTGTAGTACCAATCAACAAAGTGATTAAAAGTCAAAGGACTGCATTGATTACCTGCATGCTTTAAAACTTGTGTGTGTGAGAAA